CACTCAGAACCATGACCAGAACAGTAAGAAACAAGGCTTCATTTAAAAATTGCTACAGTCTTTTTTGTTCCCCATCTCCTTCATTCATTTTAAAAAACTTTTTTCTAATATCTTGCTCTCCTCTTTTTTTTCCCCCTAAGACATCTAACCCAACTGGAGAGAAAAAAAAAAAAACAATGTGGGGAAAAGGGAAAGGTTGCAGGAAAAAGGTGCATTCCAGGGATTATAGAGGGGACTTATACGTTACCTTCCAGAAAACTATCAGTCTTATCACATATGGTAGAGTAGTAGGGTGGCTGGCTGCTGTCAGGGTCTTCAGATTCCTGCCCCCCAAGGTGCTGAGTGCCCTCCAGTGGATCGAACTCCTCCAGGTGATCTCCTGACATCTTTCCTCCGAGCATGTAGTGATCCACACTGGGATAGTTATCTTCTGGGTGTCTCAAAGGGATCAGGTCCACAGGGTTTCCCAGCAGGTCCTCAGCCTGGGCGGCAGCTGCTGCTGAGGGGAGGGTCAGCTCCTTGATGAGGAAGGGGTTCTTGGCCTCCTCTGGAAGCTGTTCCTCGTTCTCCAGGGAGAAGATGCCGGGGCTTTTACCACAGCTCTCAGCCATGGAGTGAGCRTTGGAATTGGACGTGGTGCAGTCAAAACCATAAGAGGCCACGGAGTTGGCTGACTGAGGGGTGGCTCCGCCTCCATCTTCTTCACCCTCTCCACCTGCTAYATCCCCCGCCTCCTCATCCTCCTCCAGGGCAGTTAGACTAGAGGAGGGAGGGGGGCTTTCAAACCCGGCCCTCTCATCCATCATCATGGGTGCTTCTGGGTCGTTGATTTGGATCTCRCCCTCCGTGTCGCTGGCTTCATCGCCTGAGGTGGAGGGGGATGAAGGGTCGGACGCAGGAGCAGTTGGAGGTCCTGTTCCTAAGACCTCATCGGCAGGAAGTGTCTCGGCCTCCTCCTCCTCCCCATCACCTTTCTCTAAATGAATGCCCAGGTCCTGGTCCATGTCAGGCTGGAGCGAAGCGGGAACTGGGGTCTGCTGTTTGTCAGAGTGAGACTCCACCCCGGAGCTGCTGTCGTAATCGCGGAGGTCCTCGGGAGTGCTCGTCTCGCTGCTGCTGTGGGTGGCCAGAGCGGCGGCGCTCAGGGCGCTGGACTGGGACACGCCTACGACTGAGGCAGGGAGTAGATCAGGAGTTTCCTCAGGAGAGCAGTGCTTGGCCTGTTCAGAGTGATAGTGGAGTGTTTGCTCCGGCTGAGAGGGGAAGGACGGGGCAGTGATGTCTGTACACGCCTGGGCAGGAGACTGGGTGGGGGTCTCAGACTCTGCTGCGTCACGGTCAGATACAGGGCTGGGGGAGGARGCGGGGGGCAGTGAGGCTGGCTGAGCCCAGGTATCAGAGAAAGGGTTTGTCTGACCCCAGGAGGAGGCAGCTGGAACACAAGACTGAGGACCAGAACGACTAAAGTGGTCCAAATGCTCTTCGTTAAAGTCATCGTCTACAATCCCACAGCTCTCCATTACTCCTTCACTGTGCATCTCTACATCCTCATCCTCCTCCTCATCCTGTTTCTGCTCCTGGAAAATTGGGTGATGCTCCTCCACTTGCTCTGAACTCATGTCTATATCGTCCACCCGGTCATCGTCTTCGTCCTCATCTTCCTCTTCCTCGTTGGCTATRGTTTCCACGTTGGGAGAGCCCATGAGGTTTCCATCTCCCTCTGAGCCTCTGAAACTGGARTCGACCAGGGCGTCTGAGCTCTGGGTTCCCTCCAGTATCGCRGTGTGCTGGGTGCTGCTGAGGTCGGAGACGCCCTGCTGCCGGCTGCTGGTGCAGCTGCTCACGTCCTCAGAGTCCAGCCCAGACAGGAGGTCRTCCCCGGGCCACCCGCCAGAACCGCCCAACACTGAGGAACGCACTGGCATTTCATCAGAGGGCTGAGACGTGCTCATGTCAGTGGTCAAGGATGAAAGCAGGTGGTCTGGTCTTTTTAGGTCTTCATCCTCCTCCTCATCATCATCGTCATCCTCATTGATCTCCTCGTCAGCCTTTTCTGCTGCCTCCTCCTCCTCTTGAGATGAGACCAGGTCTCTATGGGTAAAATGATCCAGAGGTGAAGCATCAAACCGGGCTGCTGATGCTGTGGAGGTCAGCAGAAACAAGTTTTCTTTATCTTCTTCTTCYTCYTCYTCYTCCTCCTCCTGAACGCCACWGCTTTTATTTTCTTTCTCCTCTTCTGTCTGAAACCCCATCATATTGTCTGACCTCTGTGAAGTACAAACAGCAGAAGCTTGGTTCCTGTTCCAGGGATCAGACTGGACATCCATGTCCAGAAGAGAGGGCAGGGTGTGTGACTGTCTGACAGGAGAAGCAGGACCAGGTGGGGAGCATGGAGGAGACATGACTGTGGTTCCCAAAGAAGGACCGCAGCTGTTGTCTTCAAACCTGAAGGGGTTGACCTGCGCTGCCATCTGAACAGTGGAGCCCRCTTCAGGTTCTGGTTCTGCCTCAAAGACTTTGACCCGAGGTTCAGGAGAGGATTCTAGTACTCGGACTGAACTTGGCTCATGAACAGTTTGGGTTGCTGGTTCCCTCACAGGCTCTGGTGTCGGTTCCCTCACAGGCTCTGGTGTCGGTTCCCTCACAGGTTCTGGTGTCGGTTCCCTCACAGGTTCTGGAGTTAGTTCCCTCACAGGTTCTGGAGTTAGTTCCCTCACAGGTTCTGGAGTTAGTTCCCTCACAGGTTCTGGAGTTGGTTCCCTCAAAG